GCCTCTGTGTGGGTCCTTGGTGCCTCTCGGGAGCCGTTTCGGGGTCCCCTTGGGCCGTTTTGGGCGCCTCTTGGGCTGTTTTCGGGCCCTCTTGGGCCGTCGTGGGGGCCTCTTGAATGCCTCTTGGGCCGTCTTAGGGGTAATTTGGGCGGCGTCTTGGGCCGTCTTGGAGCGTCATGAAGGCGAGAAGTTGTTGATGTACGGTTTACAACGGGACTTGGTGATTTTGGCCTCTTGGGGCTCCCTTGGGAGGCCTCTTGGGGTGTCTAGGGGCGAGAAGGGGGCCTCTGGGACTGTCTTGGGGCCATGGGCGTCTTGCAGCCCTCTTCTTGGCCCAGCTTGGGGCCCTCTGGAAGCCATCAGGAGCCGTCTTGAGCCCTCCAGGCGCGCTCGGGACCCGGCGGCCCCCAGCGGGACGCAGGTCTAGCCGGATCAGTTTTCTATGTATATAAGTATTTATCGAATTAGCAAAGCTACATGTAACGGGGAACCGGACCCAGGGTCCCCGGGGCCGCGACCCCGACCGCAAATGGGTGTGCCGGGGGCCCCAGGGGGGCTCCCTGGGCGCGGGGGGCCTTCTAAGAACGCCCGAAGACGGCCCCGGACTATCAGAAATCGCCCTTCCGGACTGCCAAAACGACCAATGACGGTAGAGATGACCACACAATTAGCCCCAGACTTTTCAAGAGGCTTCTTAGACGCCCCAAAAAGCAAGAAGCCTCCAAGAGGCCTCCCTAGAGCGCCCGCAGAGGCAACACTCGCTGATTATCAGCAGGTTTTTGAAGGATTTGCGAGTCTCCACGACGGCCCAATAGGCCCCCAATGTCTGCTCCAACACAGCCCAAGAGGCCTCCAAGAGTGCCCGAAGACGGCCCAAGAGGGCCCCGAAACGGCGCCTGAGGCGTCCAAGACGGGCCAAGAGCGTTCCAAGACGGCCCCAATAATGACACAGGAGGGGTAACCCGAACCGTTAATCCGAGCTTCCACCTCGAAAGGCTCTCTGGAGGGCCCAAGAGGCCCCCAAGAGGCCTTCCAAGAGCGCCCGAAGAGGCAACAATCACTGAGTTTCCTTAGGTTTTTGAAGGCTTTTTGAGTTTTCGCCTTTTCAGTTTCCCGACGCTCCAAGACAGCTCCAGAGGCCCCCAAGACCGCTCGAAAACAGATGAATAAGCCTCCAAGGGAGCCCCAAGACGGCCCAGGAAGGCCCCAAGAGTCCCTGAGACGTCCAAGACGGCACGAGAGGGCCCCAAGACGGCTCCAAGACAGGCCCAAGAAGAGGAACGCGAACCCAGAAGTGTCCGGAGGGTCGTAGTTCTTGAGACGCCCAAGACGGCCTGAGAGGGCCCCAAGACGGCTCCAAGACAGGCCCAAGAAGGGGAACGTGTACCCAGAAGTGCCCGGAGCCTGAAGACGCCTCCAGAGACGCTCAAGACAGCCCCAGAGGACCCCAGGAGACCTTCCAGAACGCCTCCGACAAGCCAAAACCCTTCCCAAACTAAAGGGAAATCAGTGACTTTCGCCTTCTCGCCTTGTCGCTTTCGATGGGCTGCTGAGACCTCACGGTCGCACCCAAGAGGCCCCCAGGAGGCTCCAAGACGCCCCACACAGCCCCTCAGACGCTCGAAGAGCCCCCGAGACGCCCCCGAGAGGCCCCCAAGAACCCGCTACAACTTGTAGGTGACTCCTGAGGTTGCATGTGTGCGTGCGCATCTGCACGCAACTGTGAGACTGTCACGGGCTTGAGTTGGCTAGAACCTAAGCGCGCGCGAAGCGCGCGTGGTTCTAGTATTTATCCGTAAGGGCTTCGCTCCATGCCGCCGGCCCCCTGTCTCGGATAATGGGAGATGCAAAAGCTAAATCATGAGGTCTGGGCGCCGCCGTGAAGCAGTGTCGGGACCTCTTTGTTTTTCGACCCTGACCCTACTGATCTGAGTGAGGGGTGCCAGCAGATTTTACGAAATGCTGCAAATCCTCAATGTTTTGGACCCTGACCCTATGGATCTGCGTGAGGGGTGCCACCGAATTTCAGAATTGTGGCAAATCCTTTGTGTTTTTGGACCCTGACCCCGCCGATCTGCGTGAGGGGTGCCACCGAATTTCAGAAATGCAGCAACTCTTATGTGTTTTTGGACCCTGACCCCGCGGATCTGCGTGAGGGGTGCCACCGAATTTCAGAAATATGGCAAATCCCATTTGTTATTGGACCCTGCCCCCGCCGATCTGCATGAGGGGTACCATCGAATTTCAGAAATATGGCAAATCCCATTTGTTTTTGGACCCTGACCCCGCCGATCTGCGTGATAGGTGCTACCGAATTTCAGAGGCAAATCTTACGTTTTTGGACCCTGACCCCGCCGATCTGTGTGAGGGGTGCCACCGAATTTCAGAAATGTCGCAAATCCTATGTGTTTTTTTACCCTGGCCCCGCCGATCTGCATGAGAAGTGGCAGCAAATTTCAGAAATGTGGCAAATCTTAGATGTTTTTACAATCATACACACACCACACAACAGACACGCATTGGACCGCCACCTTCGTCTTCTCCCCATTTGTTCCCCGTTTTCCGCTTTTGTCCCGTTCCATTTCTCTTTCCCTTTTTCCCCACTTCCCTTCTCGCGTACACGGACAAACATTACCCCTCGCACGCGCGCCCCCCCCCTCTCCTTCCCCGGCAGAACCACCCCGGCAACCCCCCAGAGGCTGAAATGCAGCTTCGAGGCTGCAGCTGAGGCTTTTTTCAAACTCGATCACACGCCACGGAACCCCCCTTCCCCTCCCCTTCGCCATCGGAACCCACGCAACCGGCACCCCGCCCCCCCCTCTTCCCCCCATGCCCGACGCCACGGGAACCCTCGCCACCGGGACTCCCCCTTTTCCCTACCCCGGCAAAGCCACCCCGGCCACCGGAGCCCCCCCCCTCTTCTCCCAATTCCCCCAATCCACAGGCGGGACGGGGGACCGGTCCCCCCCCCACCCCACGCCACCGGAACCCACGCTACCAGACCCCCCCCTCCTCCTACCCCGGCAGAGCCACCCGGCCCCCCTTCAAATCACACGCCGGATCGGCGGATTGATTGAAGATGCTACGGCGAATCGCCACTGCCCCCTATCTTTTGGAATCGCTAATGTGGCCGAGCGTTGTGGCAAGAGCTCTGCCATGCTATCGGGCCATGTGTTCCCCCAGCCCTTATAGAAAACCTTCGGGGAGCACTTGGGGGAGGATGGCGGGGAATATCAGGAGAAGAAGAAGGAGGAGGAGGAGGAGGAGGAGGAGGAGGAGGGGGCATCTTGGGAGCCTCTGGGGGTGCTCTTGGGGCGTCCTCGGAGATTCCTGGGAGCCTTTTGGAGGCATCTTTGGGGCCTCCTTGGGCCTCTTGGGGGCCTTTGAGGCCTTCTCGGGTGTCTCTTTGGCCGTCTTCGGGATTCCTGGCCCGTCTGACGCCGTCGGATGCCGTCTTGAGGGCCTCTCTGGGCCGATTGGGGCCTTCTTGGGGGTGCTCCAGGGCCGTTTCGGAGTCGATCTTAGGCGTTTTGGATGACCTTTTAGGCCGTCTTGGGGCCCTCCTGGGGCCATCTTCGGGGCCTCTTGGGCCGTTCTGGAGCCATGCTGGAGGTCTCGTGGGCGAGCTTGGGGCCGACCTTTGGGGGCTCTTGGACCTTCTCGGGCCCGCGGAAGATCGAAAAGACGCAAATGCCAACATCCTTCAAACACCACAGGAAAACAAATGATTTTGGCCTCTTCGGGCCTTCCTGTAGGCCCGCTTTGGGGCCTCTGGGGCCGTCTCGAAGACCTCGTGGTGGCCTCTTGGGCCGTCTTGGGCCATCTTCGAGCCATCTTGGGCCGTCTTGATGGCCTCGTGGCCCGTCGGACGCTGTCAGAAGCCGTCTTGAGGGCCTCTCTAGGCCGTCTTGGAGCCCTCTTGGGGTGCTCCAGGGTCGTCTTGGAGGCCATCATGGGCGTCTTGGAGGCGTCTTGGGTCGTCTTAGGACCCTCTTGGGAGCCTGTTGGGCTGTCCTGGGGCCATCTTGGAGGCCTGTTGGGCGATCTTGGGGCGATTGCGGGGGCTCTTGGGCTGTCTGGGGCCGTCGGAGGACCGAAGGGAAGCAAATGCCAAAATTCTTCAAGCACCTACGGTAAATCAATGAGTTTGGCCTCTTCGGGCCTTCTTGGAGGACCTCTTGGAGGCTCGTTGGGCCGTCTTGGAGGCCTCGTGGGGGCCTCTTGGGCCGTCTTCGGTCATATTGATGCCATCTTGGACCATGTTGGAGGCTTCTTGGGCGGACTTGGAGGCATCTTGGAACCTCCTGGGCCGTCTTGGAAGCCATTTTGGACCATGTTGGGCGAACTTCGAGGCCATTTCGGGCCATCTGAGCCGTCTTAGAAGCCATCTTGGGCCATCTTGGAGCGAGGCAGGCATTGACATGTGCATGTTCGGCACACTTCTGGGTGACCGGCGGGACGGGCCGAAGCCCCAGGGCATGGAAGTGCTGGTAAGTGTTTCGTCCATCGCTGTTTACCCTCAAGTCATTTTCCTCGTAGAGGTGGATGGCCGACCTGGTTGGCGCCTTGGTCGGCCAAGCGATCGCCTGAGGCGCAGGCGTCGCGGGCCAGGCCATAGGCACCTGGCTGGGAGCGCGCGGCGGCGGCTCAGAGGGCACCTGCAACTGCAAGTTCGAGGGCGGCGGTGTCGACACGGGCCTGATTGCACTACTGCAGCGGCAGGTGGATCGGTGTGGGCCCGAGACCTTCTCGAGGTCTGCACCAGCGTCACCGGCGACGGCGGAGTGCGAGAGCCAGGGCTTCGGAGTGTTCACGCTCCTGCCCGTGTGTCGAGTCTCGTTCGTGCTTGGCCTGAAGGCGTGTGACACTCGAGTGCGGCTGCCAAGGTCTCGCGTGGTCACAGGGGCCCTTGCAGATGGCGCCAATGGCGAAGCGCTGGAGGACCACTCTCGGACGGCTTCTGAAGTACGGTCGGGTCCTCGCCTATTACGATCAGGCAGATGATTACTGGCACGATCGGCTCCTGCTCGAGCAGCTGGGGTCCACGCGTTGGATCATTGTTGCCCCGCACTTCGATCTGTACGATGAGGAGTTGGCGGAGGCCATCGACGTTCGGGAAATCGGGCCATGCGGCGGTGTCGGGTTCGGGCCATCGGGATTCAGATTTTTGCGCCGTTGATTGGAAGTTGTTCAAGTTGACGGGGTTCGCCAGGTCATCGCTACATGGAGAATCGCGAGCAGCGGCAGCAGGCATGGACGCACTAGAATTTGCGAAGCGATTCAGGGCACCCCTCATCTACGACAACGTGAACGTCAATGTTGACGAGGGCACGCGCTACGCTGGAGAGTCAGCACTCGCGATCGACGCGAAGGCGCCTGATGACGCAGCCAAGAAGGAGAGCACCACCAGCTTCCAGGACAGGCGCACGGGCATCGAGGATTTGGCGCTACGAGAACGGATGGATGCTACGCAGGCGCAGTGGGAGTGAGTCTTATCAGTGCAGATGGTTTCACTAAGCTAGCGGCCAGGCAGCTCTTCGCAGACAGACTTCAAGCAGGACGACTTCAGCTGCAGCGCGACCCCACCTATGCGACAGCCACGAAGAAGGTTAAGGAGGAACGCCGGGATATCATCAGGGAGAGTAAGATGGAGACGTCATCGTCCACTAAGGCGAGACCACCATTCATGTAACTGTCAGTTTTTTTTTTTTTTTTTTTTTTTTTTTTTTCTTTTTCTTTTTCTCTTCCGACGCGTTGTTGCAAGTCAGCGGCAACCTCCTTTCCAGAGTTTGACTACAACGCAGAGTGCAGGTACTACGACGACGAGCTCGCGAGCGTTCGTGGTTTTCTGGAGGCAGTTTGGATGCATTCATGTTTGTGATGATTGGAAATGGCAGTGGCAGTCCAGCAGTCTGTTATGTATTGCAAGAATTTGTGGAGCATCGAGACGACTCCAGTGTGGAGTGCCTGACCGAGACCAGACGACCGAGGAGACAGCGACCACCGGCGTCGACAAGGAGACGACCGTCCATTTGCAGAACACAAACAGCAACCACAAGCAGGTGCGACGGCGGACGGTCGGCGCCCAGAGCATGGTTACCTACCGCTTGCAAGGAGATCAGTGGCGTTTTTGTCACAATATTAACGGCTTCAAGCGCGCAGGCGAGGTTTCACTGGAGACGACCGAACCCAACCAATGGCAGGGCCACCGACAATCAGGCAGCCAACGACAGCCCCAAGAGCTGCAGTGAGTGAGCCAACGCACCAGCGCAGCTTCAGTTTTTTCATTATATACACGCTCAGTTACACGCTCAGTTTTATTGCCAGTTATGCAACCCACATCAACGCAGTTGTGCATGTCACATTCAGCTTGCATATTGTATCACAGATGTATGCAGTTTGTTTATGCAGTTCCTGCAGCTTGTGCAGAAGAGGATTCTCAGTGGAGTTTTACGCTTCACAGCTCCCATGGGAAGGGGGGCCTCTTACTGGTTTTTTTTTATTACCTAACATCGAAGACTGATAGGTTTCTAATGGGGTAAAAAGAGAGCAGCACATCACTCCACAGGGGGGTCTGGGCAGCCGTTGGGGGCCGTTGGGGGGCCGTTGGGGTTTGCCGGGGGGGATCGTTTTTCGCATACAGTCACACACTTCGTGCTTTTCGATTTCCCAGAACTCCATCCCCGGGCCACGTTCTGAATGCCCGGAGCCTGCTGTACGCCACTTCGTGCTCTTCGATTTCCCAGAACTCCATTCCCGGGCCACATTTTGGATGCCCGGAGCTAACTGTAGGCCACTTCGTGCTCTTCGATTTCCCAGAACTCCATTCCCGGGCCACATTTTGGATGCCCGGAGCCAACTGTAGGCCACTTCGTGATCTTCGAGTTCCCAGAACTCCATTCCTGGGCATGATTTTGAATGCCCGGAGCCAACTGTAGGCCACTTCGTGTTCTTCGAGTTCCCAGAATTCCATTCCCGGGCCACATTTTGAATGCTGAGGGCTGAGGCTGAGGCAGGCTGAGGCTGAGGCAGGCTGAGGCTGAGGCCGAGGCTGAAGGCAGACTGAGGCTGAGGCTGAAGCAGGCTGAGGCTGAGGCTGAGGCAGGCTGAGGCTGAGGCTGAGGCAGGCTGATGCTGAGGCAGGCTGAGGCTGAGGCTGAGGCTGATGCAGGCTGAGGCTGAGGCAGGCTGAGGCTGAGGCTGAGGCCAAGGCTCAAGGCTGAGTGAGGCTTTGGCTGAAGCAGGCTGAGGCTGAGGCTGAGGCTGAGGCTGAGGCTGAGGCAGGCTGAGGCTGAGGCAGGCTGATGCTGAGGCAGGCTGAGGCTGAGGCTGAGGCTGAGGCTGATTTTTTCCCGCGAGCACAGCGTGGGCGAGCACCTCGCGTCCACCTGCGACAGTCCTGGCTAGACCTCCGCGCTGCCTGAGGCGGCGGAGGAAAACTGGGCCTCGACGCCGTTTCCAGCGGCGGAGGAAGAAGCTCTGGCAGCAATCCCAATCGACTCAAGGAACTCCAAGTCCTCGGTCCTCGACAGCGCGACCACCTCTCCAGGCAGTCTTTCATTCTTATAAGGATGCTTACCTGCCAGCAATCGATTTCGCCGAGTTTTGGCGTTGTGATCCCTCGGGCCCTTCGGACATCCTGTGAGCAGACCACAAGCCCTGGCGCTCAAAAAGGCGCCGCACTCACGACAGAAAGTGTAGTGGTCTATTCGAGACAGCTTATGTCGCCTTGGCCCCTGCAAAGGAGCCCCGTCGACACGAGCTTTTTCCTTCCACTTTCCGTGGGAGGAGAAACCCTTCCTACAGAACTTACGAGACAACACCAGCTTGGCCTTATCGCTGTGGGCCCGTCTGGCGCAATTCACACACCTCCAAGACCCTCGATCCCACTCCAGGACGTGACGAGACTCCGGAGGAGGCAGCACCGCACGGCACGGCCGAGGGCCAGGGGCCTGGGAGGCATTCTGCAGACGGCCAGTGGTGTCATCAAACGTGCCTATCTTACAAGTCATGTCTCCGACAAGCCCGAGAACAGCACTTACTTCTCTAGACCTAGACACCCACGTGTCACGGACATGTGGCGGGATGGCGTCTAGCTTGGCGCCCTCCTTCGCCTGAAGGTCGGCGCATTGATTACCGAGGTAGTGACAGAGCTCGAGTCCCTCGAGCTGCTGGGCGTGAGCCCTTTTGGAATGCGCTTTGACCTTGACGACGACGAGGTCCCCCTCCCCCGAGTACGAGTCTTCAATCGCATTCCAAATCATGTACCATAAATCGGCATGCGGTCGCCTGGCTTGGCGGCACCAGACTGGGCCTCGCCTGAAGCCCCGAACGACGGTAGAATTATCGATCCCTACCTCAAGAGGGGCCGTGCCGTGCCGAAGAACATTCAGGAAGCCATACAATTCTGCCCTAAGCGCACTCTGTGCCTGCCTAACACCTGGAACCGTGCCGTGCATTGCTTTGCGTACGTCACCATGCTGATCTACAAAGCAGAAGCCCCAACCGAACGCTTTCAGCCCAGGGACCCCGACCCCCGACCCATCCGAGTAGGCCAGGCCCGAGAGAAGGGGATCGTCCCCGTACTCGGGGTCCAGGGTCTCAATGCTGGGCGTGACGTCCTGGAAGGGGCCCCCCAGTGGGTGAGGCGTGAGAGCCCTGGAGAAGAGGTGCGAGGAGGAGCTCGAGGAGGAGGCACGGTGGATTATATCTGGATAAGATTCACCTGCAGCCTGGCGCTGCTCCTGAAATGCTGGACATTTACAGAATCTATGGTGCTGGTTACCGATGGCGTGTCCGCATTTTTGGCAACTTCGATCTTCCGAGTGGCTCTCCAAACCTTATCTTGCGTCCAAAAATCGCCACCCAGGAAGGCTAGCATTGCCGACTGCTTCTGGCCCTTCTTCTTTTTTGACCTGACGGCCACACGACAAGGCTCAAGGAATGGCTTTCGAAACGGCATGCCTCGCTGCGTGGCCCAGTCGGTGAGCTCTTGATCCTCCAAACGTAGATAGATATACTTGCGCAACGTGCTGGGCGCCGATCGGCGCATATCAAAAAGTTCACCAGTGTGAAGGCGAATGGTGTGCCAGCTAGGCCATGACCAGCCCAGCCGCTGTAGCGTAAGATTACAGGCAGACGCAGGCCCACGAACTTGGCTCCAGGGGCGATCTAGCGATTGACTCCGTCTAGTCGCTTCACGAGACATTTCCCTGCGCCAGGCCCTGGCCATATCTACCTCATGCACACCTTTCCAGGCCTGCGAGGCCCACATGCAAAGCGGCTTCTGCGAGCCCTCGACCACATGATCAACTTGATGCGTCCAGAGTCGGAGGGCTCTGTCTCGACCAGCCGCACTACCGCCGAGGCTGCCCGAGACCATGACCCGCATTCTGTTCAGGGAGACAGGCGAGACGCCTAAACAGCTGGACCCGTAGGTCACGGACGGGATCACACCTTGGCGGACAACCCTGGCGAGGCGGGCCCCTTGCTTCGAGAGGGCTTTTAATTTAGACTTGCGCTGGCATGCATATTTAAATCGCTTCTGCATTTTCTTTCTTTTGCGAACCACGGCGCCTCCAGCGCTATCCACTCCCAGCTGGGAGCTGGTATTGGTGATGGCAAGACCCAAATCCTTGGCCCAGGCAGCGCAGCGTTTTCGAGCCGAGGCCGCGGCGACGAGGATGTACCCTTTGCCGCGGGCACCACGGGAGACAGGGATGCGCCAGGTGCCTTCAATCTCACGAATATAGAAGGTGACAGCAGCCTGCAGAACAGTGAGGCATTGCAAGGCTCCTCGGACCTGGATACTAAGATCATCGACAAACAGTTTCATCTGGAGGCGAGCCCCCCAGGCTTGATGTATAGCATCGGTGACCTGCATCACAACCATATTGAGCGCCCTGGTGCCACCGATCGACCCAGCCACGACGGCCGAGAAAGTTTGAAGCGACTTCTTAGCTAGGACCCCTCGAAAAGCAACCAGCCTAGTGGATGTGTAGATACTGATGAGAAGCTTGGCTAGCTGCTGAGGGAAACCGCAAAGAGGGGCGACCACCCAGAGAACATTCATGGTTACATGCTCAAACGCACGTGACAGATCAAGCACTCCCGTCGCCGAGACCTCCCCCTCACGCGTCCCCTCGTCGTGCACCATCTGGTGCCGCGCGGCCTCTTCGGAGCCCCCTCCAGGGCCCCCGAAGTCATAGTCGCGCTTGGCAGAGCGCTCCCAGTCGTGAAAGAGGCCAGGGTGCGCTCGTTCTACTACACGCATGAGAGAGGGGAGGAGCCCAATCGGCCGAGTGCCTCCCGACTCCTTGGAAAGTAGGAAGTATATAATGTACCTTACCTGCGATGGGAACTGTGCCGTGCGAGAGATAAACATCACGAGTTGAATGAGGCAATCTTTGCCTTCGTCCGAGAGCCAGGCCCACCAGCGTGGGTGCCAGTGGTCGGAACCTATTCCCGTCCTGGCAGGAAAACTCAAACA